CAGAGAGAGACGAGCGTCGGTCCTTAAGTGTCATCAATCTGACAGACTTCTGTTGATGCGTGCCACACATTAACACACACACACACTCACACACACTCCTTTTCCTCTGTCCATTTAATCGTCTTTATCTCCCTCACCTTTCTCTGTTTCTCTGGAATTCTTCTCTCTCTCTCTCTCTCTCTCCCTCTCTCCCTCTCTCTCTCCCTCTCTCCCCCTCTCGCCTCAGGGCCAAATAGACTCCCACATATTTTCTGGATGTACACAGGCAGACTCGGTGTTGTCACAGTGCACGGTGTATAAAGTGGCTACACTGACATGTCATTGTTTCACCACATGTGTGTTTGTGTGAGTGTGTGTTCATGTACAACCCTGTGCGACTGTACGTGTGTGAGAGTGTGTGTGTGTTCATGTGCATGAGTGTGTATGGTAATAGGATTACTCCTGGCACAGGGAGGGGACACAAACTAGTGCAAAATGGAGGACATAGCCAGCAGGGTATGGAGCTTAGCTGGGCCTAATTGACTAGATCCAAATTAAATATGCCATCACCAGAGGTGTGACCAATGGATTTGACTTATTCGGTTTACAAAAATAGAGACCATTAACCCTCCACAGAATGCATGTGCAGGAGTGTGTCCGTCACCGTGATGAAAATACATCCCTCCTCCCCCCCCCAACACCTCCTCCCTCCTCCCACTCCTCTCACCCTCCATTGGAAATCAGCAGGACCAAACACAGAGAACGAAATAAAGTCTCGTGGAATTGTGTCTCTCAGCTTGAAAAACGCACGACGGCCGCGCTAATGGAGGGAGCCTGTGTTTCCAGAACGAGGCGTCTGGGTGTGTGTGTGTGTGTGTGTGTGTGTAAACACCAGGGCTAGTTCACTGCGTCCGAGCCGCCTCTCTGCAGCAGCTGCTAGCCTTCCCAGCAGACCTCGCTTTAAACAGCCACAATTTGCCTGCTGAATCCCGTAATTGGGCCACCAGAGGAATCCTGCGCCGAGACGGGCGAAGCGCGGAGAGAAGACGAGTCTGAGAGAAAGAGAAGAAAAAAGACGGAGTGGTAGACATGAAGAGGGGAGGGGCGGATGAAGAGATGGGTAGAGGGAGAAGAGTAAATGACAAGAGGGAGGAAGAAAGGGAGGAGCAGGGAGGGCAGAGGAGAGGAGAGGAGAGGAAGATCGTGTCGGGGAAAAAAAAAAAAAAAAACGTCTTCTCCCCCGAGCGATTAATCCTTTCTTTACAGCTTCATCAGTCGCTCCGTGCTAGCTGCTAGCTCTTCTCCAAAAAAAAAAAAAAAAAAATTGCGACTTTTTCTAGGTCAATTAAATGTAAGTGATGTGTTATATTCTTTCATGACCAATTAAATTAATAGGTTATTGCAGAGTGGCGTGGGTGGGAGGAGCAGGGACAGTTATCCCATTTGATTAAGAGAGCATGGGTTCATTATATTTTATAAGCAATTTTCATTAGCTGACTTGAGGTTTTGTTACCGCGGGGCTGGAAATCAGCGCTCATTGTGCTCCGTCTGGATGCAGAAGGTGTGCCTTCAGCAGTCAGACTGCAACATTAGTTAAAACCAAAGCCAATTAGTCCTGCTTAGTGGAGAGCGTTACGCTCCTTCCACCCAGCGATGATCACAGAGCTTACATCCCCCTGCGAAACAATACACCTGTCAGTCCACATGAAGTCCAGCAAGTGAAGCAGAAGCCGGGCCGGTCTTTGATGGGGACAGAATTGACTCTGGGACAACCCTTCACCTCCTTTCTCCTCCCCCTCTCTGTTTCTACAGAATTAACCTGTCGACCCCAGAAAACTGTCGTTTTTTTTAATACAGTGTCGGCATAAAAGTTATCAAAGCCTGGATAGTTTTTTTGGTATTTTTTTTCTCTCTCTCCAAAAATGTTGATAACATTTGCCGGAGCGGACGCTGCCTGTAAACCGCTCCCAGCTGGAGACCTTTTGTCCCAGAATGCATTGCTCCAATCATTAAGCACAAATTTGTTAACCTCCTGCTCAGAGGTCAACATCTCCGCAACACCAACCATGTGCTCCCCTTTCTGCTGGGTGAACTTTTACTATTAACGAACAAAAAAAAAATGTTCCCGATGGGGATTGTGTGCCCCCCCCCGCCCTCCCCCTTCNNCCCCTTTCTGCGGGGGGAACTGTTACTATTAACGAAAAAAAAAAAAATGTTCCCGAGGGGGATTGTGTGCCCCCCCCCGCCCTCCCCCTTCACCTCCCTCTTCCCTCACCCTGCTCACCCCCTTGTATTGTGCATGTGAATGTGTGACCCTGTTGATTTGGTCCCTCTGGAATCTCCCCCAGAGTCGAAGAAAGGAGTCCCGCAGCTCCACCTATTGATTGGCTTATTAAGTGAAAAACCCCATTAGTAATGAGCGCCCAGTCAAGCACGCTCAGCGTTTACTGCCGCCTTTATGTCCTTGTCGTTTTCGGGAGTTTCAGGAGTGAGCAGAGGGTTAGGGTTCGAGGGTTCTCGACATTTTAATTGTGTTGTTTTGGGTTTTTTTTTTGCTGTGAATCGGACGTGACTTTTGTGATAGTTTTCTTACAGTATTTCATAGACTAAATACGAGCTTCAACCCTGTTAGGTAAAATGGAAAGATTTAGTCCCAGAAAAAAGACATATTGCATCTGGAGAGAGAGAGGGGGCGCTAAAGGAGTGTTCTGATTTGTTGTACATTTAGTCCAAATAAACCCTGACCCTGAAGCTAACATTTCATATATGACGGCTGTAAATTAGCAACGTATGCCGATATTGGCCAAAACTTAATTTCTGATTCCGATATCAACCGATACATGCAGCGGTTTGGGTTAAAGGTGCAATACAAATAATAGTTTCACTTTCAAACTATTTTAAGTTTCAACCCAAGCATTACATTATCGGGTTTTGATTATCAGAGGAAATACTGATAATGATTCTTAGCTAATATCGGTCGGCCGATAATTTCTATTATCGGACATTCCTACTGTAAATGCTTCTATATAAAAGAGGACAAATCCAAGGATGGTTTTGTCCAGTTTTTTTTTAATTCTTTACTTTTATTTAACCAAGATTCTCCAGGGAGACAAACACAGGAAGTCCCCCGGGGTAACTCCAAATCTGTTTCGGAGCTTCCTGTTTGGCTCGGCTTGTTGTTGTTACCACAGGTTGTCACCCACAAAAGACAGGTCCCAGGTGAGACACCGTTAGGTCCACAGTTGATAGCTAACCTCTACCACCTGCAGCTATTTTAGGCTAGCATAATAGCTGCGTAGCTCAGGTGGAGAGTGAAGGATGAGCAGGAGAGAAAGAAACCAAGGAGTTCTTTTAAAGTGTCTTTGCCTTTGTTCTCCTGCTGCTGCGCCTCCTTGTCCTCCTCCTTGTCCTCCTCCTTGTATGCCTTTGTGTCATGTGATGTGGTCCTCCCGTGTGAGGTGGAACACGTGGATGAGCCACAGGCGCTCTCTCTCTCTCTCTCTCTCTCCTTCTCTTTCTCTCTCTCTCTGTGTGTGTGTGTGGTGCCATGGTGTGGCGGTTAGCATGCCTGCCCTTGCAAGCTGACAGAGCTGGGTTCAAATCCCAGATGAACCACAGGTTTGGTGCCTCTAAGGGGCAGCAGATCTGCCGCTGAGCAGCTCTGAGTCTTGAGGTCTGGAAATGTCAGAAAGTAAAAACCCAACAGTGGTCGTTATTTTCCTTCCATAGTTTGAACAGATTATCCAGAAAAAATAAATCTGACCTGGACTGAAGTATCAACTCAAATGAGTTTGGACCTCTAAATCCTCTCCTACTGCTGGGATTAACTCCTCAGACCAACCAGTGACCACCCCCCCCCCTCCCCCCTCTAGTATTTTGACTGAGATTAATATTATGTCAGGTTTGCAGTTGCCACAGCCTGAATTACCCCTGGGGGGTATTATCAGCGGCTCCTGCCATGTCGGTGGTTTCAGACTGTAACAGGAGAGTGTGCAGTCGGAGCTCTGCTCTGATCTATTGTTGTGTTCAATTAATGATTAATGGTCGCCAACTCCTGTGCGATTAAATGCTTTCTTCCACTGCAGAGGACGAGGATATGACTGTCAGCTGGAAAACCTCTGTACACGCAGGAGAATGAAGTACTCGTACTTATGAGTACTTTGAGCGTGGCTCCATATTCAGTAATGAAGGAAGGTTTGATATTTTAGGCTGGTATGCTGGTTTGATGGTATGCTGGTTTGATTCCTGGTCTGCAGGACAGTGTGAATGGTTCACGCTCACTTGGCCACAGGTGAACAGTCTCTCGATGTGAACCTGTGATTGACAGGTGAACTTGTCCAGTAACGCTGCCGTCGCCCGACGACTTCAGCGATTTTGATCCAGGAGTAAAAATGAATCCGTTAAAAAAAAAATTACTAATAATTTTTTGACTATTGTGATGACGATGATGATCTTGTTCTCATCTGACCTTTAAGTAACTCCTCTTCTTCTTCTTCCACAGAACTGAAGGTCAAGGCGGGGGGGTCATCTGTCCCACAGAAGCCTGTGGAGCAGTGGACATCCAGACACCAACTTCCAGACGACTACAACTTTTCCGTCAACATCCCGGGACAGACTCCAATGTGCAACCTGGAGACCCACCACGACGGCCTTCAACAGTTTTTTTTTATATCCAGAGCAGGTGGGGAGGGGGCGCTGAAGATCTCTTATGAACCTGGTGTTCTTTAAACGCCCCCACCCCTCCCCGCCCCCCCGCTGCTTCTCTGCTGGACCCTCCTTCCTGCCCCGGGCCACTTCAGACTCTCACGGGAGTCCTCCTCTGATGATGACGCGATTGGAACCGAGCGAGACAGAGACACACTGGGTCCTCTGCCCTTACCTTTGGCCAACTAGGCACTTGGTGATATTTTCTAGACTCAGAGACTTCCTGCAGGGGGAGCGAGCCGCTCTTTTGGGACGATGGACCGAGGAGAAGCCGATGTCTGTATCTGACGGGACACTGACGCAGCGACACAGGTGCCCACTTTTACAAATATACCAGGATGTAAACACGGAGGCGGGGGACGGCCGAGAGGAAAGAAAAAAGTTAAAAAAAAGTATAACTATATCAAAACCCTGGTTTGGGGAGTGAGCGGAGAGAGAGAGAGAAAGAGAGAGAGAGAAAAAATATACTGTATACTGATGTAAAGTTACGCCGGACTCTGACACGAACTGGGGATCTAAGTATTGTAAATGCTATTGTATTGTTCTGCATATTATGTTGTTTCTAACAGATTTTTTTAAAAAAGGATGTGAACTTTTGTTTTTTCTTTTTGTTTTGTTTTTGTTTTTTTCTCCTCTGTTTTCTTTCCACACTATGTGTGTGCCGTCTCCCCATCATGGAATTTGACCTCCTGCCCCCCCCCTTCATTAAATCACCATGCATTTTTAAAAGAAAAAAAAAATAAAGAAATGGACAATTTGAGAACGTTGTGAACGAAAGTTGTTTTTTTGACTGTGGCAGTGAGAATTCAATGTCCTGTTTTTTTTGTTTTTTTGTTTTTTTTTCTCCTCTAGGTCTAAATTTACTCCTTAAACTCACACAGGCTGAAAGATACATCCCATAATTCCACAGTCCAGACACTAATGATTGATCTGATTGTTTTTAAATGTCAACAACGTGTTATTTTGTCAACAAACTTCCTTCCTTAAGGTGAAAATTAAAGTCTAAACAGAAGGTGAGCAGGAAAGACAGATAAGGACGAGAGCCAATCAGAGGGCGGATTGAAACTCGCAACCTTTTGTCATATTTTTTGTGTCAAATTTGGAAATGGTTAATTGTGGTGCGTTATGATCTTGATCAGTCATGATTAGTCGAGATATTTTTTTTGTGATATAATTAATAAGATTTATTGTGATTGGACGAACGCTGAATTCAAGACTTTTCGACCTGGACTTGAACTTTTTTTTTTTAAAGACCTTTTTTTTTTGTACCTAGGAATAAAATCTAACCTACTGAAGAATTTTCTAATTTTGCAACAGTGTAAACCTGTCCCTCAATGGGACACAACCCACCAGGTGAGAACCAATGATTTAAAATGGCTTTGTTTGAAAGAGTTTGTTTCCTGTTTTTATGTCATAAAGCATTTGCATGACCTGTGTTTATACACCCCCCCTCTGTCACCCTCCCTCACCCCCAGATTCACGATGATTTAAAAAATAGTGTATGCCACTGTTTCTTTTGGTTCAGATTATGCGATGCTGATCAACATGTGTATGTGTGTGTGTAGGTGTGTACACACCCTTTTGTCACTGCATCCATTCTCTGTTGCTTCAAACTTGTCAAACTTGTCACATCTTTGCAGGTGTCTTTATGCTTTTATTTTGAAGGGCACGTTTGGTGAATATTGAGTTACAAACAAATATTGTCTTTTCTTCTCCAGTCAACGCCTCACAATCAGCCTGTCAGTCTGTAGACTGTCACAGAGGAAGAGGAGTGTTTCCCTGGATGTTTACACACAGTCAGTGTCACTGAACACAGTTTTATTATTATCATCATCATCATCATTATCATCATCATCATCATTATTATTATTATTATTATAATTATATTCTGTTTGTTTCCCTTCCTGCTCCAGACCCACCACCAGGTCCTGGACCAAATGCTGGGATTGTTTAACTTTGTCTAACTCTGTTCCAGGTTGTTGTCAGCAGACCAGGACCCGGACCTGGTCCTGGACCTCATCCTGGAGGTCTTCTTGGTCTGTATTTCACAGTCTGGTCTCCAGTCTCTGTCTCTTCTGTTGTTTCAGATCCAGAGTCCAGTCTGGATTATGTCATATTTGTTATTGTTATTCTTTTTCTTTTTCTTTTTCTTTTTTTAGAGTTTTGATTCTGGTCCTCAGTTTGTTTCTTTTGACCTGAACTTGTTTGTGAACCACCGTTTTCACCTCAGTTCTTGACCTTTTTTTATTATTATTATTATTGAATTTTGTCCAATATTATTAATAAGTTATGGCTGTTGAAAAGTTTCAAAGTTTTTCAGACCTCATCATCATCATCATCATCATCATCCTCCTCCACAGGTGAAGGACCATCATGACGACCCTTCACCAGACCTCACCCCTCTGCCCTCCCCCGCCCCCCCCCCTCCCCCCCCCCCCCCCT